TCTTTTTTTTTTTTATTCGTAAAAAACAAAACAAACCCGTCCCCCTTTTTTTTTTTTTTTGGCACACCCACTCCCCCCTGGCGCCCCAGTTTCCCTCCCCCTCCCCCAGTGGTGGGGGGCCCAGAACACAGGACAGAACAGACAAACAGACAACAGCCATCTGTCATTCACTCATGGGGGGGGCGCGGGCGAAAGACACACAAAAAAAAAACCCAGTTTTTTTTTTTTTTGGCCCCGCCCCAAACACACACATATATAAAACACACACTCATTCACACGCACTCTGATCGTGAGACACACACACACACACACACACACACACACACACACACACAAACACATTCACACACAAAAGGCGGCACCAACCAGGGTTGCTGCCTCTGCGTTTGCTGGATCGAGCGGGTTTGGGCTGGACAGGAGGCTGAGGACGCTCTGGCACACGCCAGGCACGTCCAGGGTGGGCATCCAGAAGCCGTTGGAACGCTGGGCCTGCGCTGGCTGCTGCAGCACAGACACGCATACCTGTGCACAAGCAGAGGACCACGAGTTGAATGTGTGCGCGCGCATATGTGTGTGTGTGTGTGTGTGTGTGTGTGTGTGTGTGTGTGTGTGTGTGTGTGTGTGTGTGTGTGTGTGTGTGTGTGTGAGGCGATGTGAAAAGTGTGCGGTTGCAGCCACCTGTGGGGGTTGTGCAATCAGAATCATGCTTGTGTTGTGTCGACTGACCTTTCCGTCAAAGTAGACGTTTGGATGGAAGATGGGTGTGAGAAACTGCCATGATGGCGGGTCCATTGGGTAAGAGGATGGGAACCGCACCAAACACCTGAACGCGCCGCCTGCAGTGCCAACAACCACATGAAACACACACGCGTTGGTGATGTGACGACGAGCTTATTGCACAAGCAGTTCCCGCCACGAACTATAGCTAGCGAGATGCACACAACGCGCACAGACGTATCAAAAACACAGGAAACCAATGCAACCAACACATGCAGAGAGGCAACCAGGGTGTACAGATGCAACCAACACATGCAGAGAGGCAACCAGGGTGTACAGATGCAACCAACACATGCACACATACATACATACACACACCTTCGAATGCTGTGCCTGGAGGTCCAAAGATCCACAAGCTCCAGAGGAACATGCTGTCCTGCTCCAGCCCAATAAACTTGTACAGTGGGTTCTACACGGTAAAGATGAAGCAGATGTGACACGGTGAAACAAGAACACAGTGTATGTAAGAGAGTCGGTGGACGACGTGCAACAGCGGGCCGACAGGAGAGATGCGAGGAAGACAAGCAAGACAGACATTGAGGAAAAACACAAGGAGTTTCAACACACACACACACATACCCAGACACAGACAGACAAGCAGACAAACAGACAAACAGACAGACAAACAGACAAACAGACAGACAAGCAGACAAACAGACAGACAAACAGACAAACAGACAGACAAACAAACATGTACACACACACACACACAGACACACACAAACACACACAGACACACACAAACACACACGCATACGCCTATTGTCCTGACCTCATCAGCCTGGATGGACTTGAGCTCCTTGCGAAGGCGCACCAACGCAGCAGAGTTTGCCATGGCCAAACAACCGCAATCGATCGATCACACCAACCTGTCCGCGCGGAGCAGGTTGAGCGTGTTGGGTGTTGTGCCCACAAACACAGGTTATCATGCAGAGCAAACCCATGTACGCGTACGTACACACACACACACACACACACTCACGCACACACGCACGCACACACAGCCACGTCCATCTTCCATTGCCAACACCTTCCACCCCCCACACCAGACACACACACACACACACACACACACACACACACACACAGCCACGTCCATCTTCCATTGCCAACACCTTCCACCCCCCACACCAGACACACACACACACACACACACACACACACACACACACACCACATACCAATGCTGTGCTTGTCGTCGTTCGCGGGCGGGAAAGTGGTTGGTTGGTTTGGTTGCTTGCTGCTGCTTTGTACTCGCTTTGCTGCTTGTTGTTGGTTGGTGGTTTTGTGGCGTTGCCTGCCGCCGTGGCTGCCGCGGGGATGTTCATGGTGGTTGGCTTTTTTGATTAGTGGTCGGCTTTGTTACGATGTGTGGAGCCGTCATCCTCCCTCTTCCCATTGTGAAGAACTGCCGGCCGTTTGCTTCTGACCGCGTTCTCTTCCGTGGAAGTCTCCCGCCTGTGGCACGCTATCGCCGCCGCGGATGTCGGCGCGCCGCCGTCAGTGAAGACCTCAACAGTTGTTTGTCACCCCTCCCTCCTCTCTCCTTCAGTTGCTGCGAGGAGGAGGTGGGTGGGAGCACCACCAAGAATCATGGCCGACTTCGTGTTAGATGATCCCTCCTCACGACAGACGAGGGAGATGGGCGGCAACGGCGTCATCTAAGAGGGTAGATTTCTTTG